CACATCCCTGCCGCAAGATCAGACCAGAGGCCAAAAACAGCCCTGAGTACCAGTCCAACTCCGGTGACAATCCCAGCCTGACGCTGAGCGCCGGGATGCTGGATGGGTCACTAACCTGGAGAGAGAACAACACACTGCACTCACACCACTGATGACCTCATAGTAGGCACCTTCATCTCCAAGGTTACTGCGCAACGTGAGCAGCACACAGGAAATGACAGACAGGAGCCCCACCGTCTAGCTAATACAGGCGGCTGCAAAGAGCATGAGAAAGCTTCAGGGATCACAGAGGGCTCATCAGGGCAATTCACATCCATCTCCTCCAGCCATTCCAAATAGAAGCCATAAGTGGCCAAGCCTCATCTTCTCCCTACAGCCCGGTACCCAGAAGTCCTTTGGAAGCTCAACCTGCTGCATCCATGGACTGGCAGCTATAGGGGCGTCGCACCGAACAGAGTAAAGATTACGCTCAGAGTGTTTAGGAACCCAGCACTCGGCAGGAGTCTGGCAAGTAGGCTGCTGCCACATCCTTTCCTCATTCTTCTTACCCCACTGACAGACATGATAAACTCAGACAGTTTCAGGAATCAACCTTCCACAATCCTGCCGCAGGACATTGCTGTGCGAGTTTAGCCTGTGTGTTCCCTATACCTAGTCGCTCCGCTCATCCAGCTGATCTGCCACTTCAGCACTCGGCTATCAGCCAGGATGTTCACCTCAAAAGCGCAGCGGAGATCCTGACATGCTCACATGTACCAGTCAGACATCATCCTGGCCGCTTCCTAGCCGGCGGCATCCACAGCTTCAGTATTAAAGCTGTCAGCTGTGCACAAGGTAATCATGAAACCTTTTTAAGGATTGTGTGCACAAAATAGTTCAGATGGAGTCTAAATGAGGTTAATGTGGACATTTCCCATCTGAGAGGGAACTGCTTATCGCTGCAGAAGTGCCCATGAGGCTGGCCAGGCTGGGTCAGTCCGATTCCCGGGACATCTGATCTGAACGTTGCTGAGATCCAGCAGCCACTCGTATCAGCTGCAGCTACTTGCTAACTTGCCCAGGCTTGTCTGTGAGAGCTTCCCACCCCGCCGAAAAAAATCGGCCTTGCCTCAGACCTCAGGCTCCAGCTCACAGCACCCCCCCCCCCTTCACCATAATCTGACAAACATAAAATCCTCACTTGTCCAGCAGCAACGCCGACCGTTTCCCTGCTGATAAACTGCCAAGTGCTGCTGAATGGGCAGTCTGTGCGAGGGAAACACTGTCAGACCTTTTGTCCTGAAGCTCACAGCCTTCTTGAATAATATCCACAATTCAGTCTGCATCTTCCACACAAGCAGCAGCTGTTGAATGATTTTATTATAACAAGAAACATGCCGACTAGTTTTCCTGTCAGTCACATTTTCTCAAACGATTATGATTGAGGCCACTTACAGCAGGTCAAAAAAATGGTGATACTTAAAAAAAAAAAAAAAGTTCAGAACTTATGCACATATTGCATTAATTTACCAACACTAGTGTTCTAGTAAAAAACATTATGGGATTTTGAGATGGCTAATGGCTCAGCAGGTTAGGGCTCTAGGCCTGTGACCAGAAGGTCACTGGTTCAAATCCTGTAGTGGAGAGAGTGATGTCATCACTGGGACCTTGAGCAAAGCCTTTACACTGAACTGCTGCAGGTACTGTCTGAAGCCATACTCTTGTATGTTGCCTTAGATAATAATCATTTAACTATATAAATGTAAGAAGGGGTAAGGAGAAGCTGGAATGCAGAGTTTCTAAAAACTAACACCAATAAGCGGAGATGACCACACAGTGCCTTTGTTAAGGCACTCAGCCTTGGTCTCGCTATGGCTGACAAGTACTCAGCTGTCAGGCAGTCAGATGAAGCATGTTCCATAGCCCACGGAAGTCAACAACTAATCCAAACAGCAAGGGGAAAATAAGAGGAATCCACAACCGGATTTCAGTTTATTATTTCAAAGACACATCACTACCTATATTGGTTACTTGCACAATTATAAAAAAAAAAAAAATGTAGCCATTTGGAAAATATGGACTTTTAGGTCATTTTTTAGTCTGAATTTGGTGACATAATTAATAGTTAAAGTCAACATTGCAGGGTAAACATATTTGTCTACTGTTTTCAAACACAGAAGAAACACCAAGGGTTGGATGAGTACAATTCCGCAACTCTCAAAGCTTCATTCACCCGTCATTTCCGCAACTGCGGTCTCCTCTTTTCAGTAGTATCATACTCCCTCTAGTGGCCATAGCAAGTAAGTGTCCAATAAACCTGACTGTGAAAATGTTACTGAGAAACCATACCGGAGACCTTTGCATACCAATTCTGTGCACCTGGGAAGGTATTATAATAACCATGTGTGGGGGACAGACTAAGTATTTTCATATCTCTTAAAATGAGGGTGGTGACTCCAAAATTGCTCTCTGACAACCCATCCCCTAATGTCCACTGCCCAAAACATGAAAAACTCACCTCCCCAGAAATAGGATTTGTGCCATACTTCTTTATCCAGGGAACTATGCTCCTACACAAACAGCAACAGAAGACTTTTAGCATTTCAGTGAGACCTATAATTAAAGTTGCGCAGCAGCCAAGCCAATATTAACAGTAACATTCATTGTTAACAAAGAACACCGAAACTACCAAATTTATCATTGATTTTGAATTATGCTTTAAATAATTTGCAAACTAGAGCTTAGGCTAAACTTAGTAAACATAATTATATTGCTTACTTTACATTATATAGCTGTTTCACCACATTGATGACTGGGTATCTAAGCATAATCTTCCATCGATTTTCCATACCCACTAGTATGGCGTGAGGCAGCATCGCTAATCACTGCACCATCATGCTGTCCCCAAACCAAACAGTATCTCTCTAATCCTTAGAGCAATTGCAGTGCCCATGAACCACAACTCAAAATGTTTCTATTAATTACAGTTAGGGGCAGCATGGATGTGCAGTGATTCACACTATTTTCTTCCACTTGAGGGTTGGCACCACTGAGGGAGGTTATTTAGGGGCAATCTGACAGGCTCTCCCTTTGTGGGTGGATTGTTTGGCTCAAGTGTTCAGATTTGTAAGATGTTGCTGACAAATGCCATTATTAAAGGTTGTAAAGAACATGGCTACAAAATGCTACAAAATTTTGAAAGCTTACTTTCTGATCGAAGATTTGCTACAAGTTTCACCATGAGATACTCACAACAAATCAAATACGACCCCCTCCTCTGTACACATGGGATACTCAAATGGCTGAAGGGACAAGCTGGAAGGCAAGCAAGAAGACAACAAGCCAGACATAAACCATGAGGACATTGTAAAATTACCTGAAACTTACGCAACACAACTAAGTTGCAATTTTTAGTTAAAAATAGTCAGAATCATTTAAAATAGCTTTTAGATTGTAACTTTACAAGGCAAACACTATACATTCCAATCCGAACTACAATTCATGAACAAGTCTTTAGATTAATAAACTACTATTACAGTAGACAACCGATTTCCCTACAGTGAAGTGCCATGGATTATATAACATCAGAAAAACACATAAACCCCGTGTGACGTAACACTGGTCACCTGCAGTGGTCAAATGGGAGACGTCGGAAATTGGCCTGTGGAATTTCTATTCAAAAAGAGAGATGAAACAGAACGTTGTAATAGTTTGCCAACGAAAACCCTTACAGGTTCCTAAATAATCTCTATTTATTTGTCTTTTATGTTATGTTGCATTCAAATCCGTTATCACATTCTGCGTGTAAGTTACATGCAAATACACAAGCTCAGCAACCAAGCGAAGCTAAAAGCAGAAATCTAAACTTCGGAACTCAAACATTTTATCGAACACATAAAATATATGAAAGTATTACCAGATTTTTTCCCGCCGTAAAAATTTGTATATTCGGAGCATGTTATGTACCTAGGAATAAAATAAATATCAAAATCATTATCAATGTGACAAAACCAGACAGTCAGATACAAGAAGAAGCTCATTATATACACAATAACTGCCAATGAAAAAAGTATATCACAGACTGACATTTACATTAAAAAAATAAATGCTGACAATTGCGCAAAAAGATAATGTGCAAAAAATAACAGGGATACATCATACAGCAACACATCAAATACATGCACAAAAAACTTTGAAGACTTACATTTTATCCTTCTGATGTTGTCTCTTCCCCATTTTGATAAGAATGCAAATGACGCTTGTTAGATAAATTCAAAAAATCGGGTTCTGTACTTTCAGTCGGGAGCTATACCAGATTATATGTGTAGAAATACGAAATATTTTTTCAAACGTTAACATACACGCAGAAGCTGCAGGTCCGTCACACAATCCGCCCCCCCGGAAAGACCAGCGAATGCACCCAGAAAATATCTCCGACGTGCAGCTTCCGACCCCCGCTACGATATCTAAATAACTAAATTAATGAAGAGTCATTAATCCCTCAGTACAATTAAAGTACATTGTTCTGTTAACAATGTTAATGAGTGATACTGCTTGAACTGGAAAAACGCATTACATCCACTACCGGATTTGATCATCGCAACCACCATACAATTGGCACTGCTTTTAAATAGCTAAACTAAAGGAACCACAAAACGCCGTGGTTATGTATTCGAATGCAGGTTGGGTATGGCGTTTGGTTTCTCGCTAAAGGGAGAGTTTTCCATGGTGTTTATATTAATTGCTTGAATGTAAATAGCATTTGTTATACATTTCTGTATATCTGAATACTATGCGATAGCTCCTAGTAATCCTGCCTTGCACCATAAATTCCCCAAACTGGCCCCAGATTACAGTTAAACAAATATGATATAGTGGCAGTGGTGAACAATGGATGGTACATGTATATTAATAAGAAACATTATAAGTAAATGCCATGATATGAAATAAATTGGAAAGGATTACGTAACGATTTTCACCTTTGGCACCTTCCCAGTTTTAACACCAGGCGGCAACTGTCAGAAGGCGGAAGCGAAATGGACTGTTTCATGTTCCGGGGTCACTATTCTGCTTTTTCTTTTTTATAGCACGAAGCTAATTAACCTTAGGCGTATTGGTAACATTGACACATAAACAGCCTCGTGCTGCAGTCGCTGAAAACAATGCAGGGTGTAAAGCTGATCCTGGTCCTGGCGATGGTGCTTTTCGTTTCTTTGCACGGTGCCGATTCAGCCCGGGCTCGCAAAGACTTCGGCAGCCAGAACAGTTTCAGACGGGTGGCGAACGCTTTTTACCAAACCCTGAGCAGCATTTTCGGAGAGGACAATATCAGGGCTTTATATAAGGTGAGTGTTAATGCTTTTGATTACTGATCATTCGCTCCTTCGATCAGAAAGTAATTTCAGCAGATGCATCTTGCGGTAAATGTCTAATTCATACCGGGCGCTTTTAGAGTCAGTTATTTGCTGGCATAAATGTCGATGTTGCAATTGCGTATCTTGTAATCATAATGCTGTCATTTCCTACATTTTCTTTGTATGACTCCTTCTGGGTTATAAGACTTCATTGAGCGGGAAAAACGTTGAGATTAAATTCCATATTGTTCCTTTAAATTATTTGTAAATGACATTGTGTTTTAATGGCAATTTAAATACAACGAAAGTTCAGCATAATAAATATATTACTTGACATACCTGTTTCGTCGCTGTTATAAAATAACAGTTTGAAAGCAGATGTTGATGTTATTGTATTATTATAAAACTTAAACGTCACTCTTCTAAGAAAACGGACATATCACATTTTCTATAATAATTTAATTTTAAGCAAATTAGTGATCGAGGGTATAACAGCAATTAGCATCTTCTACTGGTGTAGAAATTTGCTACATGTATTCTCTGATTTACACTTCATCCATCATCGGGCGCAAACAAAATTTTTTATATTATTAACGCTTACTTTAGCTTATTATAGTTATTTATTCCAATATTTTTTACCCTCAGGTGTGGGGGAACACATATTTTTTATATTAGAAAGGCTATCGATTAATTACACAATTAATTAATCTTGAGCTAGGTTTGAACTAAACTAACATAATTTTCTTCTGAGTCCGTACATTTTGTTTATCTTTTGCTGTAGCTGCATCTTGTAGGCTATCTGTATTTATCGTATGTGTTATATGTATTTGTGAAATCGTGTAAAAGACTATGGCGTGTTGAAAAAGCCTTAAATTCATAATTGTCATCACTGGGTTCATAAGTGTAGGCTGCCTGATGCTGCACAACATTCCAGTGCTGAAATGGACACACTGTGTACCACATAATCATGCAGTTACCTTAATTTCAGTTTTTCAGTAAGACAACTGAGCGCTTTGTCCATGGAGTTGACTCGTTCTTGGACACTGTGTGGAAGATTTGGACAGACCTGTTGGATGTTCTGGGAATTGATTGTAAGTTCTCTATTGAAGCAGATTTCCCGCGCAAAGGCTTATTTTCAAGTTTGTAATAATATCAAGAACTTAATGTACTTAATTGGAATGGTTCTGAATTGTACTGTTTTTGTTAGACTATGTCTGAGAAACCAAGAAATTGGATGAATGACAGTAAAATAAATAGCATTAGCATTAGGCCTAGCTAAAAAGGTACATCTAAGGCAAAGTTCCCCAATTGTAGTTCAGGAAGGCCAGTTTGCAACACAGTTTGCCGATTTCCCTAATCAGACACACTTACTAAACCTGCCAATTATCTGGTGAGCTGAATATGGTATGAGCAGGGAAATTTGCAAACTGCTGGACTCTGGCCCTGCAGGACCGGAATTGAGAAATCCTGATCTAAAGTTTCTAGTGAGGTTCACTTACCACGGCAGTGACATTCATGTCTCTGGTGACTCTTCCTATGAAGTCAGCAGATGGATCGGCAACACACTGTACCAGTGCCTATTCCCCAACCTGACCTAACCGATGGCTTGCAGCTGAAGTAAATTGGAAACGCGTTATTGATAATGGTTCAGCTCTTCCCCTCTGACACTGTTTAATATAAGATGTTATAAATAAGTTAACCCCAGTTCATCATATATTTATTCTGGACAGTTTGCAGTCAGACCATTTTAAACGGGAGTACAGGAAGTTGAAAAAGGGGAAGAATAGTTTTGGTAATGATAATATTATTTTAAAAATAAAATGATCTTAACATTGTGCTTCTGTCACACTGTCCTTTCCCCAGCATCCAACTTGAGCCACTACTTCAGTCCCGCCTCCGTTGCCAGCTCGCCAGCGCGGGCCCTGCTATTGGTGGCCGCCGTGCTGCTTGCCTATTGGCTGCTGTCACTCTTCCTGGGCAGCCTGTTCTACGTGCTGCGGCTGGCGTTTGGCCGCTTCTTCTGGCTGGTGCGTGTAGCTCTCTTTGCTCTCTCCTGCCTCTATATCCTGCACAAGTTCGAGGGTGACCCGGAGCGCGCCGTGCTGCCGCTGTGTGCCGTCATGGCCGTCTACTTCATGACGGGGCCCGTTGGGGCCCACTGGCGCCGGGGAGGCGGCAGCTCGTTGGAAGAAAAGATCGACCACCTGGAAACCCAGGTCCGGCTGCTCAACATCCGCCTCAGCCGGGTCATCGACAACCTGGAGCGTTCTGCTGACCAGTAGATTGCCATGCATTAGGGATATGGGGGGCTGGGGTGGGGGGGTGGGTTACTGCAATATACTGAATTTATGGGCTTGAATCTGGGGGGGGGTGGGGGTGGGGGGGATTGTTTCTAAACTTTCCAAACCACGACAGGGACCTACAGGACATAGATGTTCAGTACAGTATGGCGTATCTCAGTATTAGTGTAGTGTTGCAAAGCACAGTGAAGGTGTGTCAGAGGACGGATGTATGGAAGATCAGGAAGGTGGTCATGGAAGCTCTTAGAGTACTAATGAGGGGAAGGTAACAGCACTGCAGTGTTTACCGACAGCCTGTGATCGATGTTTCCTCAGCCAGAGGAAATGACTGGCTGGATTTTTCAGAGTGTCTGTCATGTAGCCCCACACAGTGAAAGCCGCTCTGTCCTCCATGTTTACTTTACCGCATCTTACGTTCTTTTCCAACATAACAACACTATAATGGCACATACACTCTGACACGGCCTGGCTGTTTTATACCACCCAAAGGCCACCAAGTCTCAGCTTGTTTTCATTGTTAATTTTTTTTTCTTTTTTAAATTTGGTAAATTGTGCATTTTTGCTTTCCAAGATGATTGTCAGGAATGGAATGGAAAGTTAAAAGTGGTAGATGCTGCATTGTAATGAAAATCGTGTTACTACTGGAAAGCTAGACATGCTTCTGTATTGCTGTTCACATTCTTGAAGGACTGTAGGTTAACATTAGTAATTATTTCTTTATTATTGCTCTCTGGCTGTTCCATGTTCTCCTCTACTCCTAGAACTTGTATGATAGTCTTTTGATTTTGAAAATCAGGTTTATCTTAACAGCTCAGAAGAAGCACCCTTGTATAAAAGTCCAGTTCTGTTTTAAAACTCAAGTTTAATTACAGCCAACAGTCATTCCAGTGTATTTCTGTCTGGTCTTTTATTAAAGTCAGTTTATGATGAAGCAGAGTGTGGTGAGGTCAGTACATTCCATTTATCAACCGCAGTAGTCGAGGTCTCTGTTGTTAGTAATGGATTTTATTTTTCTTTTTTGCTCGTAATAGATTGCTTTCTCTGGACAGTGCTGAGAAACAGCAAGCCATCCTGAATGAACTGTCAATGTTCCTCCATAGCAATAGATTTCTCCAGGTTAATTTCAGGTCTTTTTTAGTCATGGACCAATAGGAGGGCTGGTCCTTCTGTGTGTGTATGTGTATGAGAGAGAGAGATTGTCAAGCTGACCTAGGAAGTATTTATGTTACACCTGCATGTGTATAAATGAGTAAAATGATTGAAATGTAAAACTGCTAACATGATCTAGACTTGTCTCGCACGATTCTGATGCACTGTGTGGAAACGCAGACTTTTAAGAAGCACAGGGTTACACGTCATCTGTCAGCCATGTGTAATGAGGTTAAAGGAACATTCTCAACATGCAAACCCCATAAAGTTTGACTCCACAGGGTTAAATCATAGCAAATCTGTTACACGTTCCAAATACCGGAGGAAGGAATTCGTTAAATATTGCTTATAAGAATCTCTTGTAGCACCTTGTATTTGCTGAATTGCTGTTGGGAAGCACTGCACCTGTGTTTCACACAGTAAGTTTGTGTTTTAAGGTGTAAATCATGAGAGTGTAGCTGTCAACTCCTTTTAGATTCAAAGCTCTTAAAGGCAGCTGCATACCCTGGGAATGGATTTGGTTGGCCTTAGATTGAATTCATTTAGCACTGGGAACAATGCATTTAATGTGTTCCAGGCACAAATTAGTCAGATTTTAGCTGGCTATTCATTTTATATAGATATTTGTTATGTATATTTAACATATATGGTCTATGTGTAATAACACGACAGTTTATTTTTAGACATTTCAGAGGGTAAGCTGATTAAACTCTACACATATTGAAGACCTTATCAATATATGTGTTAGTGGGTCAAACCATGATAGTGAAGTTAAAGATTTCCATGTTATATTACACCTTAGCATTGAGCAAAAATGTAGGCCTCCATTTTTATTTACTCTCAGCTTCACAGCAGTTTCAGCTGGCTCAGTGACAGATATCTATGTAGTTTTCAAAAATTTTACAGTAACAAGATATACTAGTAATGTGGCAGGAGAACTTCAAGCTTGTTATAGCAGTGCTGGTTAAGTCAATGTGTCCAGTACAGCTTAGTTTATAAGCAGAAATGCTAAACAAGATTTGCCAGGGAAGCAGCCCCACCCGTTTTGGTGGGTGTAATACAAGTACAGTAAGACAGCTACAGTAGCTCATTGCACGGTGACACGCTTGGCTTAAGGTGACCAAGTAGCCTTGCGTTGCTGTTGCATCTCAAATCACATGTGCATGCCTCTGTATTTATATTTACTATCGACTAAGGAGATCTTTAGCGTTTTTGTCCAGATTCTTGTTTTTCATCATGTGCTACTGTGGAAATGTGTAAGATCTCTGCTTATTCATGAATCCATGTTGAATTTTATATTGGCTTTTCTTAAAGCTTGAATTAATTTTAGCTCTATTTTTCAAAGGCCTGTCAAATTAGGGGTTAAAAATAGTAACTGTAAGCAAATAAAACTAGATCATTTTCATAAAAATATTATCTATCAAGAGTTTTTATTAAAATGTTAGATATTCTTTAAATCTAAGGGATTCCACAGTACTTGATTGAAGACATTGAGCCAAATTCTGTAACGAGTGTGGTCCTTCATCAAAAGGATTATACTCATCTCTGGCTTTTGTCCTTTCACTTAAATTTAATATCTCAGGCATCTTTGTGCTCATTATTAAACAAGAATATTATTGTATATAGTAAGAGTATTTTTCCTTTGTTTTCAAGAACCTCTGCTGTTATCATTTCATTCTCAACCATGGGGAAATTTACTGTATATGCTACAGTTTGATATATTTTAGCATCTGAATTGTGGCCAGAAATGCTGTGTGAAATATAAATGTAAATGGGGGGTGCCCAGTCCGAAGGCTGAACCAATATTCCCATAAGGTGCCATTAGAGGGCGACCTGCCCTACTCTCTGTCCAGGCCATCGAGTTCATACTGAAATCAGCATTGCATGTGGATTACTCTGACATGCTTGTTACCTGGTCCTTTTTCTGTTAAATTTTTGCTACTGCTTTGCATGTTTGGCCTTTTCGTTCTGTGCATAGTGAAACAGCTTTTTGTGATAGTGTGACATTAGGGTCCTCCTATTAGATTCTGAAATTCTTAAAGATTAAGAAGTTGATATTTGGAAGTCTTTGGATAGTATTTTAAATGTTTCAGTGCTGTAGAAACATGACCATTTAAAAATGAAAAATGGCTTAAAAATAAAAGCAGTTAATCCACAGGGTAGTAGTGTTATGCTTTCCTAGTTTCATCAGTTAAGCTGTGGAGCTCCCAGGCAATAAGCTTCATTTTTGCATCTCTTGTGCTATGTAGCTGCTGGCTGTCGCAACAACACTTTTCATGTGCGTGTTAGTGTATGCAAGAAAGCAGGCCTATTAGTTGTATTTTGAAGAGCTGATTATTTCTCTGCATATTGCACTGTAGTATAGAGACCAGGGTTAATTTGTTCTGCTGGTGTGAGGTTCAACCAAAGTATCATTTCAGAATATTTGCAAGTATTCAGGTTTTGAAGTAGTGTGTGAAGGACTGCTATTTAAAGAAGGGAAGTATTGACACTGTAAATGAAATAAAGGAGAGTAGCATACTGTGAGAATCAGCACAAAGAGACAACTTCTTTGACAAATACACCTTAAATGTGCTATTGCCAATATTCATTTCCTCATTCACTCTTTTTTTCTCACTGAAACACTGAATTTTGTGTTTAAAACTTTGAAATAGCAAGTACTTCTGTTTTTTGTATGTTTTCTTCTTTTGATATGAAAATTTCCAGTATTTGTGGTTTTGGGAGTGGTATATCTAATGCCTGCTGTTGACTACTGATGTGTTATGAGTGTTGTGATATGAAGGTATAATTTTAAAGTGAAGTAGAGGCTTGGAATTGAATTAAATTACTTTATCATTACTGTTATGGTTTTGTGTCCATGTTTTTTAATGGGTTTCAAGTTGCAAGTAACAGCACAAACAGCTTAACAAACTAATTTATTCACCAAGGGGACAGTGTGATTAAAAATCATTGTCCACTTCTGACCTTTATTAACCTAAATCTGGCTCTGAGTTACTGTAACTTCAACTGAAAGACTGCCAAAGTCTCCTATGATGAAATGGTTGTGGGGTGATCAGACAGGTGCTGATTTATGCTGTTTAGTCAGTCAGACCTGCATAATCATGTGGTGTGTGCTTACCGTACATTTTGATTGGTTGCTGGTCCCGCTACACCCAATATGGCTGGATGTCAGCTTGCATTTTCTTTCCAAATCTAGTCAGGCTTTCACAATTGTTCAAAATGATTTTCAAACTCCGTTAATATGGTGTAAGTTTGTGGCATTTCATTGGAGTTTATATTGTGTAACATACCCAGTGTTTGATTTCTTGATTTACTGTTAATGACTCCACACAGATTAAAAGAACTTCTCTTTGGATACTAATACATTAAAGAGTTAAAATCGCAAATAACAGGTCCATGAACAGCAGATAAAGGAAATCCTGCATTTCCCTTTACATTATAATTACCTCAAACAAATTGTCTTTTGAAATACTGTCATGAATATAAATCTTCATGCAAAATATCCGGGATGTTTTTATGCCAATGTGTAGTTTAAATGCAAATGCTTTAACTGAAAAAATGATCATATGAACCATCAGTGTCAGCATTGCACAGGTTACCTATTTTCACACAGACAATAATGTAGCATTGCAGGTGAGTAGGAGGCGCTTTTTAAAATACCTGTAAAACGACAATTGGGTGTTCAAAACTCTACATTTCTACAGGCTGTCACAGACTTAGCCACCATGCCCTACAGTCTGAAGTTTGCCAAAGAAAACACACACACAGAAGGAATTAATGAAAACAACAATATGGACATGTGACACAGACCATCAGAAGGCCTTCGAAGAATCAAGCATAATGGTCACTGGGGACGCACGTTAAAAATACTATGACTCAAAAACAGCTCCATTACGGGTTGATGTGGCATATGGGCTGGTGTCATTGTGGAAAAACGCATGGAACCCAACAATTTCATTGTAAAGACACTAAATTAAGACAAAATCAGACTTTGGAGGAGCCACCTGCGAGAAATGTTCATTCACAACTAGGGCTGGGTGACAAAATGATAACGATAATTATCACGACAATTTCCCCTCGATATTGTGGCACCAGATGGACCGAGGCATCGCGGGAGCAGAGAGAGACATGGAGACTTGCTTGCCAGGGAAAACACGCTCTTTATTAGCAGTCCATAAAAGGAATACAACAGGCATCCAAAGAGCAGATAAGCAGATGGGAAACACAAGGTTGTCAGACGCCGAACTGCAAGATGCACATACAGTGGGAGATTCACATAAGCTAAATACACGTGACGATCGGACCGGGTATACACAAGACACTGGCAAACACACGCGCGACAATAGGGAAATGGGACCATTAACATTAACACAGCAAGGGCTATTTACAATTGCACGCGGGGCATACTGGTACATGCTCCCCGCCGGTGATACAATATCAAACCGCGGTGAAGTTGGTTTTATGTTCCATATTCGCTACATTTCACTGACATCTAAACTGCAATATCTTCGGGATCATGATGGCAATTCTTTTCAGATGAGGCTCCACATGTGAAGTTAAAGGAGGAAAATATTTCACACTAAGTTAGTTCCACATTCTCCAGCAATATGAATTAAAAATACAAAGCAAGATGGGAATATCCTTCTGCTCACACATAACTGCCGGAAAATTTAGGGACCGTCTTGAAAGTGCAATGCCAATCAGCATAACACCACTTGTACAGTATGTGTCCTATAACAGTCTATCAATATTGCAGTTGGATAAATTGCAATAACTCTTTCATTTTTAAACGAATCAACATTAAACCAAGTTCAATGAGTTTCTCTGGCCCTCTCTCATCTTTCACTCAACTATTTTGCTGAACAACATTTGTAAGTGTCCATATAACTGTCTATGAATATTCATTTACTCATTCAGTTGAAATAAAGAATAAGAAATATTTTCTGTAGTTATTTAATACAAAACAACACCCATATTTCATAATGTCAGAAACAGTTATATGGACACATACAAATGTTGTTCAGCAAAATAGTTGAGTGTGAAACTTTCCTGAAAGGGTTTACCCTCATTTAACACACCTGATTCAACTCCTTGGGCTAATATTACCACAAAGCTCATAAGCCAGGGGTACCCAATCTTATCCGCAAAGGGCCGGTGTGTATGCGGGTTTTCGCTGCAACTCCCTAATTGGATTACTAATTAGAGGACTGATTGGCTGAAAGAATACTCACACCTGGGTTTGAACAGCTGACCTACAAGTTATCCCAAAAACCTGCATACACACCGACCCTTTGCGGATAAGATTGGGTACCCCTGTCATAAGCTAAATCATTTGTGGTGGAATAGGGAAAGAGCTAAGCTACACAGGGTTCCGGCCCCCCCGGATTGGAGTTTGACACCCCTTGTGTAGGTGAAGAGAAGAATTTAAGTGTACCTATACTAGTACTCGTGCAAATGGCAAATAAAGGCCATTTATCATTTTTTTTTAAATCAACCGCGTTGAATAAGACAAATAACATAAACGGCCATTAAGCTAAATATCGAAACAAATCTGAAATGCAACTTTATTTTTAAATTAAAACACACATAATACACACACACATATATATATATGAGAGAGAGAGTTGTCCATAAAACATTCCTTAAAAACTGCTAAATGATTAATCGAAATAATGCCGCTTAGCCAAATTCTTCTCTTTTTTTGTTTCTGCATTTCTTCAGACAACGCTTCAGACTCCTTCCCCGTTTGTCGTTGGTTTAGCCTTCGGGCGTTTCATTGGGCACACCTCTAAAATTTAGCTTTACCATTGGTCGATAACTAGCGTTCCATATCGAAGGCGGAACCCCAATTTGTTTTGTGATTGGTCAAAATTGCCTTCGCTCACTTGCCGTATCTGTGTACTGAGGTCTCAGCTGATATGGAACCAGCTAATACACCAATCAGATGTGAGCCGTGAGGGTGGCGTGCTCAGCAAGCATGTTGTTCCGCCTGGCCTCGGATGAAGGAGGCTACTATATGACTTTCTCAGACGTGTCTCAAGCGATATCAGCATGCTTAGCAAAGCACAATTCTCTTATTTACAGCTCTTCTTAGTATGTGGTTAATGTTTAATTGCTTTCATTTGTTCAGAACGAATAACAGCTATATAGTCAGTTGATTTTGGGCAGAACAGCACGTTGTGCAGTGTCATGAATATTTAAAGAGAATTCTCATACGAGAGCTGAGTTCGTTTATTCAGTAATATATGATTGGCACGTTATTAATGTGTGCTTGAAGTGGAATAAAAAACGACTTGCAATTACCAACGCGTAAAAGTTTTCTGATTGTGATAATCAACTTGCCTTAGTCAGACGTCATGAGGCGACGCAATGTGGGAGGGGTGAATTATTTTACAGGGTTAGAGGAAGACGGGAGGACAGTGAATGAATCAATCGAGCTAGCTGTTGCTGGAGACCAAGCTAAGCAAGGACGACGTTCGGGTACAGTACAAGGATTCGCGATGTCTAAAGAAATGGAGAGAAGTGAGAAAATCATGGAGTCGAAGGTAATGTGGTACCCGGACTCCAAGAAAAATACCCAAATGGACAGATTCAGGAGCCTTGTGAACCGGGATTTCGGGCTGAATCTGGGTAAGTGTAAAAAGCGGGACCAATGGGACACACATTTCGATGGCTAGGAGGTTAGCTTCAGTAGCATGGGATTAGTATGGAGAAGTGTGATGTCAGTGTTGATGAATCGGCAGCTCTAGCTGGCTGTTCAGTGTCAGCGCAGGGATACATTTAAGGATACATTAAAGCACACTGCCGCCTCTTCTAAGGATCTGTCCGTATTTTCTTCAGTTTGTTGTCTGTCTAGGGGGACGCTGTCACTGCAGCACCAAAGCTAACTTATGTGTGCCTGACATTTTAACCGTGTCTCTTGAAAGGGCTTTAAGTCCCGGGATTCTGTACTGGTTGCGATGGCGCTAATTTTTTTCACGTTAATTGTTACAATGTATCCTCAGCCACCTACGACGAGCTGTATCAATGGTCAGTGGAGAATTATGCTGAATTCTGGGCTGAAGTATGGAAGTTTTGCGCCATCGTTAGTTCAAAGATCTACGAGGAGGTGATTTAATTTGACATATTTACCATTTTTGGGTACTCTGCTGAAGGCTACAGTTAACCTGGATTTGTGTGATGGCTGAAGTCTCTTCAAGCTTGTTGTCATTACATTATACATTATTATATTAGTAGCAGCATCAGTAATTAAATAAATCTTTTACAAGTAATATTTGTCTTGATGACCTGGCATTAAACACCAAGTTGATGCATGTATTTTTGGCCTTTTCAGCTGCCCTATTACCACATTCTCCATTCTTTCAGGTTGTTGATCTGTCTAAGAGGATATCGGATGTCCCCGAATGGTTCAAAGGCAGCCGCCTGAACTATGCAGAGAACCTTCTGAAGCACAAAGATCAAGACAAAGTGGCCCTATATGCAGCCAGTAAGTGAGCTGGCTGGAAGCCGGACTGCACTGTGTGTAGCTCCGTCCGCAGATAGCTGGTGTTGAGGGAGGAGTTCATGTAAATTTCCCTCCTAAATGTGTGATCACCTGATGAAGGCCTACAGCCCTGTAAAGGTAGATGGGAAACTGCTGTGGTTTGGAGGGAACCTGCTTTGGGTATTAATAGCACATGCATCCATATCTAGCTAAATTTTCACTCATGCTTAAAAGGCCAGAATAATCCATCCAGCCATACGGTTTATTTAGCATATGGTTGTGGTGAGCTTGGAAATGACAGAACTCTGCAAAAGTCTTAAGACGCCAAATAAAATGTTATAACTAATTATCTAGGTAGCACGTGTATATTTGCTCAGGGACAAAAAAAATTGACATAAAATATATACAGATGAACTATAACACAATAAAAGTAAAAAGATTTTTTTCAGTTGCCTCAAAAGGTACTGATATCTTGCTGGATGGTTAGATGGGCATCACTTTGGTTCCCAAACCTCTCCTCAGGGGCACCTCAGACATTCCATGCATTTGTTAAATTTCACCACTGGCTCAATTATCTAACCATATTTAAATAACTTGATAAAGTATTGATTAGCCAAAAATGGTACACTAATGGTCAAGTTGGCAGATGCATGGGTTTATTGAATGGATACTATAAATTCTGGGTGACTTTAGGAGAAGTTCTAAATTGGCTAAGCTAACCCATTTTGAATGTTGTATCATATTTTTACAGTAATGTGAAGATCATTTAAACATCATTTTCATTGGCTCGCTAAGATTTTTGCATAGGGCTGTATTTCAGGAAGCATCGGTACAAGGCAGGTTGCCAAACCATCACAACGTGGGTTGCCAGACCATGACAATGCACAAACATGCTGGGAAATTTAAGAGTCAGAAATTCACCTAGACTGCATGCTGTGGGACTGCAGGAGTAAGCCGGGGACATCATACAAACTCCACACACACATGCTGCACGGAAGCCCAGAATGACTGAGCCACGAACAGTTTTTAATAATTTGTGCATTGTCAGAATGATGTAGTGTAAAAACCACAGAGTATTTGATGCAATTTACAAAGAAAATCATTCATTGGAAAGGGAAGTAGATGTATTTGTCTCTCCGAGAAATAGGTTATGACATCAAAGCATCGGTTTTATATTATGTGAACTTGTGACTGGAATGGAATAAGTAAATTAAATTACATGTCCCTTCGCGGAGACTATGCTTTGGGGAGGCGGGTATCATCGCTGTTCCTAAAGTAATTTTTTGGGTAACGAAGCGTTTCTCCTGCAATTGAAGTATCGCTGCTGCCCTCACTGATTTGATTAGGCCTGCTGCTTTGGGTGGCATCTGTGCTGTTTCATAGGCTAATGGAACAGCCCTTTGAATGGCCTTGTTTATTCCTCACGAAGCTCAGCGTTTGTCAGGGGATCATTTGCTGTGTATGTTTAGCTTCAGTCCATGCCAGAGGGTGCGTCCACTCTGCACCCTCCAATCAGGTCAGTAATGCTGTTGTGAAACTGAGAGATTGTATCTTGATGCTTGTGAAATCAGGGTCTCCTTCCACCGAATATGTCACTTACAGCACATTCTGTCCACAAACCTTTGCTTTGTCACCCTGAAACAGAAGTATCTAAAATATAAGCATCCCCAGGTGACCCACAAGCTGTTTGTTTTAACTTGAATGTTCTAGAGGTATCATTCCACTACCAGTATAGCAGCAGAAGCACTGTAGCCTGTTTCCCAAAAGTATTATGGTACAGATCAGTGGAATGTGTGTAAGCAGTTCTGTAACACAATGTTCTGTGTAACAGGTACAGGAGTTGAAATCTTAAACAAATGTGGCTCTATTTACAGAAGGAGAGTAAGCTTGATTTGAACCTGCGTGAGACTGCTGCAGGTGTGGGAGACTTGCACCATGGGAGATGGTGTGTGCTGGAACATCCTGACGCCTTTCTTTCATTATGCTCCTGCAGCGGAGGCCAGTGATGAGATCACCAAGGTGACGTTCAGGGAGCTGTCCCGGGACGTGGCGCTCTTTGCCGCCGCCATGAGGAAGATGGGTGTACGCACGGGTGATAGAGTGGTGGGTGAGTACAACTGGTGAACTGGAGCTCGGTATGGCCTGTGAAGGCCCACTTGGCCAGGGTCACTGTGCAGCCATGGGGGCCTGTGAAGGCCTGAGTGGGCAGGGTCACATATACAGCCATGGGCACCTGTGAAGGCCTGAGTGGGCGGGGTCACTGTGCAGCCATGGGGGCCTGTGAAGGCCTGAGTGGGTGGTGTCACTGTGCAGCCATGGGGGCCTGTGAAGGCCTGAGTGGGTGGGGTCACATATGCAGCCAGTCGCTCAGGTTTAGTTTCAACATTGATGAGGACCAAATCAGCCTCAACCCCCTTGGTATGTAATCATCGTTTACCTAGTAATCTCATTTCAATTATTGTTCTTGCAAGAATTGTTCATTCTGAAATAATTCACTTTATTAGTTTTGAATAATAATAAAGTAACTTATATAATGTGGCAGTGCCTGAGACCGGGGTGACTTTGATTTGAAGGTGCAATGTGCCAGGATGTGTGTGTCCCTTTGGGAAGGTATTTCCCAGCTGCTGCCAGTCACTGTTCAGAAGAATTACACCACACCAGGTAGTCATCCTAAACCCAGTGTTGATTCTCTCGTGAAAACCCAGAGCACAGTGCTGTTGGTGACGTCTGTTAGCGCGCAAAGCCCAGCTCCTGACGAGCAATGTAATGAGTCTGCTGTGACCCAGCTCTCTGTCCCGCAGTACTGATTTCTGACAATGGAAGGAGCCGGGAGCATGATGTCATCTCTCACTGGTCTGCATGCTCTGAGTATGTAGCATATGTAGCAGGTAGCAGGCTACGCTCCAGGAAGCTCCGTTTGCTGAAGTGCTGCAGTATTAGCTGCCCAGCAGGATCCTGCCTATGGCCGTCGCATTTATTACTGCGATTATCAGTAATGATAGTTACAGCATCACACTCACACTGTGACAGTTTCGGTATGAGTATGAAAAGTGAGTTTAAATTAATTGCTGGTTCTCAAGGTAAAAGCAGTAATTCAGGGAAGTGATAAAATATGTTGTCAGTTGCATAATAATTGGTAAAACTGAGACTTGAGTCCCCTTCAAGAGGTTTTGCATATTTGCTGAAATGTCTTTCTCACCTTGACTTCAGGACCCAATGCAATGGTGTAAAGCAGCACTTCATGCTTCCCTGCATGCTGTCATAGCCTGATTGTTGGAATACCGCAGTCGCATGCATCGGGGAGCAGCCTCGGAAACACAGAAGGCGGTGCTTTTTACCTGACAGGAAGCCTGACAATAAGCATTATTAATTTCATTTTTTTGTTCAGTGTAAAATAAACCTGGAAGCACTTTTCAGAAAATTCATTCTTGCAACTTGCAAAAGACCTACACTGGAAAACCTGTTTCTGATTTGCTGCATCATGTAAATAACCAAAGCTGAGTGTTTTTTTTTCTTCTTCCAAGATATTTCTGTATGTATTTGCAGAAGGCCATTCCTACTTCAGATGCTTAAAATTGTTCCTTTTTGTCCCAAACCAGAGCGTCATTTCTCAGTTGTGTTGTGCATTTAGACTGGTTGTGGTTTTTCCCGTGACGGTCCATGATGCATTTTCTTTGTGGTGTTTGGTATCGGCTGTTGCTACTTTTCAGCTCCTCTGTTGTCCTGTACTAAACGCTCGTTTCACACTTTGCAGGATCGCTCTGAAATTCTGGCATCACCAGGCACCATCTTGAATCTCTCTATGCTGACAGTTTGCTTCCTATCTCAGTGTCAGTGAAGCTCCCCCAATGTCTGTTGACTGCAGTAATTCATTGGGAGCCTTAATCCAGAGCCATATGCAGAGATTATCGTTTAGCTGTCAAAGTAGTGCGGCGAGTACCTCTCTAGCATATCACAACAGAGCATAAAAACTGAGCAGTATCCAAAAGTTCCAAATCAGGATAATTGTGCTTCCAGTATAACACATGCTAATGGCTAGTTTAGTGCTCTAAGACAGTGTTTCTCAATACAGTCCTGGGGAAACCCCAGACGGCCCACATTTTTGCTCCATTCGAGCTTCCTGCCAGACAGTCCACATGGACAGACAGTCCACAGGTCCCTGAGGACCGGTTTCTGTAACACTGATCTAAGATTTAGCCTGCAGTTGCAGTGTCTGTCAATCCACCCAGATAAACACTGCCATACTCTTAGTGCATGCCAAACTTCTATTATCGGAACTCAATCACAATCTGGCATTAGTGTCGGCTGGTAACGTCACACTGTATGCATCACAGGAATGGAAAGTATTCTTTCTAGAAGAGGGCAGTTATGAGCGTTTGCCGCAGTGAACTGCGTCATGGACAGATGCTCCTCCCCCTCTTTTAACAGGCTCTTTTGAATGACCCCTGCATAGTCCATCAGTCTTTTTTAACTTAGTTTCATCTGCTTAATGCTCATCCCCTTTAAAGCAAGGCAGTAAATGGATTGGGATGTTTCTGTATGACTTGCTCGCATTCGAGGATGAGGTGGGGGGGCAGGGGGGGGTAGTCGGCAATGGTCGACTGTATCCAGGGGAGTGGAGCAATCTCTCTGATTGCCCAAGCAGCATAAATCAGACCTAAATGGTATGACGACAGGCAGGGTGGCAGTTGGGGGACATGGCTGTATATTTTGACTTGAGTAATTGACTGCATGCTCTCCTGATTAAAAAGGTACCCATTACTTACATTACAAATGAGGCTTCTTCTACACTGGCTTTGTAAGAAACACTCCCACCTTCTGAGAACTTAGAAGCAGTCGTAAGACCAGTTTAACCAGTGTTATAAAGAATATGCCTCTGGTATTGGCCTACCTTGCAGTGGGGATCATGCTGCATCAGTGCTGTAACTGTGGGCTTGATGTCAGCAGATGAGTGCTTTGCAGAGCGGAGGTTTTGTGGAAGAGAGGAGAGGACAGGAAGCCTCACCTGTCAGCATGCACTCAGACTCCTGCTCCGATGGCTTGGGCTCTTGCATGCTAGTCCCTCAAATGCACTGTGGGGAGCATGAAATCGAAATATCACTTTTTAAAATAACAGTGGTTACTTTTGTTTGTTTTTGTGGGTTCTTGTGTATGTCTTTTTTACATTGGTCAGGATGTGCTTATTTCTCTCTCCCTGGTGGCTGTCAGGTATTGGATGGCACATTCAAGCATAGCAAGTTGTTTAGAGCAGTGAAATGAAAAGCCTTCATACCGGCTGTTTGTGTGTGTGCGTGTGCGTGTGCGTGTGCGTGTATGTATACGTGTGTGGTTTTTCGGCATAGTTTGTCTGGCTCCTATAAATGGGCTGCTGATGTGTGCTGATGGGCGTGCATGTTAAGGGCTGCATGTTGGAGAATGTTGGACGGTTGCATTGTTGATGTTGGCTGCTTGCAGCTGTGGGGCGAATTCCACTTCTAGCTGTAGCCAGGCTGTTAGTATCGGCCCTGATGTGTGTCAGATAGTGACTCCTTTTTTGCAATCAGTGGAACTTGATGGATTTTAATACTGCTATGAGATCAGTTTTGCCTGATTGGCTCAGTCATTCTCAATTAAATATGATATATTTATATATAAACACGTAATTGTTTTTGTGTACCTTGCATGTCTGGAAGTTGTACCTCTTATTCTTTCCCATTGAGTTGTTCATCCATGTTCCATCTCTCTCAGTTTAGCTCTGATTTGTTATGGCTGTTGTGTATGTGCTACTGTCATGGTTATCCAGCTGCTACATGGTTTGTTCAAGTCTCTAAAATTAATTTGCTGACCTGGAGGTCATGGCTGATGGAGTAACATGCCTGTCAGGTGATGAGGAACTGCAGTCTAGGCCGGATAACCATAGATCCTGCTCCCTGTGCGTGGATGTGTATGTCTTAGTGCCGCTGGGTGTGTGTTTACAGATCCGGGTCATTTTTTTCTGTTGGTGTTTCCTCTTTGGATTTTAATCTAGAACAAAACAGATCCAGGTGTCTAAGTTAAGTCTGTTTTATTATAGCATAGTGTGTGTGTGTGTGTGTGTGTGTGTGTGTGTGTGTGTGTGTGTGTGTGTGTGTGTGTATATATATATATATATATATATAATATATGAATGTAGATAAATGATCGTGTCCCTTGTTTGGCTCCTGTGTAACCAGATGAAAGTTTAATCCCCATCTACCTTTTAACTGGAGATCGGATCACCAAACTGCCTCCAGCCTCTGTCAGCTTTCAGCTCGAGCTGACTGGGGTGAGAGGGTCCTTCATTCCAGCACACACTATGGGCTGATCTCATTTATGGAATCAAAAAGAAAAAAAACAGAGAATTAAAATAATCTTAACCCCCATCTCAATTTCACTTTGTTCACGCATGTATGATTGACAGAGATGCATGTGATTTAGTTTGCCTGAGTGACTTGCAGATATTTAGTGGGTGTTGCTTTCTAAAGTGTCAACGTGTTCAGTGCGGAGTGTGGCACATGCAAAATGTATTTCCTGGTTTACTGCAGTTCACAGGCTGCACGTATGTCTGCGCAGATCTGCTTGTGCGTCTGTCTATATGCATGTCTGCACATGTACGTGCAGCTCTCTCTGCCGGTGCCTTGCTTTAGGTGTGTGCTCCCTTGTCTTGCTCTCCCGCAGGATACCTGCCCAATGGGATACACGCCGTAGAGGCCATGTTGGCGGCGGCCAGCATCGGCGCCATCTGGAGCTCCACCTCCCCAGACTTTGGGGTTAACGTGAGTGTCTGTCTGCTGGGGTATTCCTGTGTGCCGTTTGTCGGCTGCTGTCCTCCCCTCCGTTTGTGTGCCAGCATGCGCATCACATTACACCTGACCCCCTCCAGATGTCACATGGTTAAAGAAAAGCATATCATTGGATGTGGTAATTGTCATGAATATCCTTAAGGTGATTGGCTCGATAATAGAATTCCTCTGTAAAGCTCACCAGTCATTGGGTGTAAATGGGAACGCCTGGCCTGTCACTGGCCGACACAGGCTGTTTGAAAGGCAGGAGCGAAAAAATAAAAATAAAATCTATTGCATGATGTGTGCCCCCCCAAGTAGAATAATGGCACGCTATGTGTGGTGAAGTAGTCTTCATCTTCCATAAGATTATTCAACTAATGTTTTGTCGACTGCAGAGGCAACCTAGATATCACATTTCCTTACACATAGGAACACCCAGATGGTACATTATTTCATCTGCTTTTCTTGCATGTACAGGAAACTGCATCTCTGTTAGGACACTGCATCTCTATTAGGGCACTGCATCTCTGTTAGGACACTGCATCTCTATTAGGGCACTGCATCTCTGTTAGGACACTGCATCTCTATTGGGGCACTGCATCTCATTTTCGTCATGAAATTGGTGCCCTTCCAAGTGAGAACATGATGAACTGCCCTTGTAATGGAGAGAAAAATATCTTTGAGATTTGGAAGGGCACTCTAGAGGGCACCCAATTGTACGGACACTGTATTTTGCATTATATCACATTTTCCCCACTGAAAAGGGCATCCTTTGGGACACATAATCATGTGAGGGGGGCATAGAACGGCACCCTTGTCCACTGGAAGGCCACCCATAGGAAGCGCTTAGGCCATTGTAAGGGCACTGTGTCGCATTTCCTCCACTAGAAGGGCACTCATTAAGACACTTTATCACGTCCTTTTCCATGAAGGGGGGCACCCTACACGACACTAGGTCTTGTGATGGGCAGCCATAGTGCCGTTTTCGCCATTCTAAAGGGCACTTTAGTGACGGTTTTTCAGCCGGGGGACACCCAGGGGCCAGGCGGTATCTGTGGTGAGATGTTGCTGGAAAGGGAGCTTCTATGACATGACTCTAGCTCTAAATAGCCTGACCTGCTTTGTTATTAGCAGACACTACAATGGATTGACTGTGTATGACTGCCCTCTGCTGGTGGATTTGGAGATTGCCAAATTTTGATTTTGTGTTTACCACAATAATTCTTTCATGGTAAATAAGAGGACAGTTGCTTATTGAATGCATTTGGTTATTTAATTTAACAAATTGATATTTCTGGCTAGTAAGTTTATTATTTACCCATTTTATCAATTAATTGCATCTTGTTGTGTGCGTGCATGTGTGTGTCTGTGCATGTGTCTGTGTGTAAGAGTCATGTATTTATTTGTGTGCTGACTGAGCATGAGATTGCATGTCTGCTGTTTGCCACCAGGGGGTGCTGGACCGGTTCTCCCAGATCCAGCCCAAGATCATCTTCTCTGTTGCGGCAGTGATCTACAATGGCAAGCTGCACGATCACATGGAGAAGCTGCAGAGTGTCGTCAAAGGTCAGCAGAAACCGCAAGACCCGGCCTCAGACCAGTGGGGAAACATGATCACATGTGGGGCTAGCATAAGAGTTTAGAATTTAGCAATCAGTGGTCATTGTTGACACACCACAGCACAACGAAATGTGTCCTCTGCATTTAACCGATATGTGACGTCGTGACATGGCAGGGGGCAGCTAATTCAGCACCCCGGGAGCAGTGCTTGGGGGCGGTACCTTGCTCAGGGTACCTCAGTAGTGCCTTGCTGGTCGGGGATTCGAACTCCCGATCTTTCAATTACAAGTGCATAACCATTAAGCCACCACTGCCCACAAAATATACTTTAATAAACTTCTGTAGTTAAAATAATTTAATCATAAATAATATGTAGCCTAATACAATTTATATTCAGGTATTTTTGAGCTTTATATTTGTTTGTATGACTTGTTAGTAGTTTTAGCTCTATTGTCTATGTACTGTGAGTATTTGCGGCACATGGATGTGTGCGCTCTATTGTCTATGTACTGTGAGTATTTGCTGCACATGGATGTGTGCGCTCTATTGTCTGTGTACTGTGAATATTTGCTGCACATGGATGTGTGCGCTACACTGTCTATGTACTGTGAGTATTTGCTGCACATGGATGTGTGCGCTCTATTGTCTGTGTACTGTGAATATTTGCTGCACATGGATGTGTGCGCTCTACTGTCTATGTAATGTGAGTATTTGCTGCACATGGATGTGTGCGCTCTATTGTCTGTGTACTGTGAGTATTTGCTGCACATGGATGTGTGCGCTCTATTGTCTGTGTACTGTGAATATTTGCTGCAAATGGATGTGTGCGCTCTACTGTCTATGTAATGTGAGTATTTGCTGCACATGGATGTGTGCGCTCTATTGTCTGTGTACTGTGAGTAT